TGTAAACCACTTAGAGAGGGCTGAAAGCCCTATGAAGCGGTATATAAGTCTAACTGCTATTGCTATGACATAAAAATGCCGCCATTACATATTTGTTTCTGAACATCTGACTAAAATATGTAAGTTGCGACATTTGCATGAGGAAGTATTCAAACCTGTTTGGTACTTGGTCTTCAACTTTGCGAACGCCATACTCAGGAGGAAACATTTGCCTACTGTAACGTTTGTACTGCAGCTTTATAGTTTAACATTTTATTGTAGTTTAATAATTATAGTTTCCTATAAATGATCCCACACTGGGAACCGGTAATTTCATTTCTCTTCATAAACCAGAATGTGATAACTTGGTCTATTAACCTCCTCTGGTTTAAAAGTACAATTTCATGGTTTTCATGTAATGAGAAACTGGTTTAAGAAATCACACTTATATTCTATTATAATTAGATGATTAGATGGCCTTTATTTTAGAAAGGTGTCCTTTATATTTATTTATTTTTCAAAAACTCACTTCTGCTCTTTATTTTGCTCATTTAATTTTTACATGCAAATTGTACCATTTAATACGTCTTTCACATTCTTGTGAAAAATACAAAATTTGAATTTTATTTTTAAAACAGATTTACATACACTGCTTGATTTTAAGATATTTTTATGATACCTTTTTCTAAAGGTTTTCTTCGTTTTGCGTTATAAAAATGAACATTTTTAATCCTATTGAAATTCTTCCAAATAGGCTCCATTTTTCAAATTTGTCCTTTATTTTTTCCAAGAAAATATGATCACTGCAATTATAATGTGAGAAAGAAATGAAACGTAAGGCTCAGTTTTGATCTAATAAATACAGCACATGGATTAATGTATTAAAAGAAGCTGTAAAATTATTTCTTTGCATAGGTCTTAGCATGATATGCAAACTAGACACCACACATTTTCTAAGGTATTTATATATATTCTTGGCCTCTGTGTATTGCTTTTGGACTTGTCTGTAATTCTAGCAGGAATCAAATTTCAGTATTATATTTATTGTGGACATATTCCAAGTGTTTTTGCCTTTTCACTGAAACCAAGTTATCCATCTTTATTTCTATTTTAGTGAGAAGAAGGGATGTACTATAACCAATTACATAACAAATTACATAATTGCTGATATACATCTCAAGTAGGCATATTCTATTTCCTTTTCCAAGAATTAGAAGATAGAGAGGCTTTTTGTTGTGTTTGATTGAAGGTTGCAGAGGCTGAGCCAACAGAATAGTTGTGTAACTTTTCTGAGGGAGGGTCACATCACCTTATGTCTGGTGCCCTTCATCTTCATTTCTCTTTGTTCCTTGTTTCAACTTAGCCTCTGTTTTCACCGTTGTTCTCCTCTTACACAAAAATAAGTCCTCTGATTCTTCCTTCTTCAGTTCCTCCAAGAATCCTCTTTTGAACAATTGTGGGTTTTTTGTAAAAACTGCTTTAAGAAATTCATGTAAAGCAAAAGGTTGAAGTTATATTTGGTCTGTATTTTATGGCATTGAAAACAGTTGGATGTCATCACTTTTTCTTTTTGTTTTTGCACTTTTATCTCTCTCTTTTTTTCTTCTGTATTTTATTTTATAATGAAATTTAATAACTAATTCCTCAACCGGGGCGTGCATAAGCGCACCAACATGCCTCCCACCCCTGTCCTACTGTTTCCATTTATTCGTATCCATTTCCTGTATTCATAATGTTTATACTGATATCTGTTATCTTATACATGCTTAGCAAAATAAATAAAATAAATGAAATAATGGGACGCGATGGCTCAGTGGCTAAGATGCTAAGCTTGTCGATCAGAAAGGTTGGCAGTTTGGCGGTTTGAATCCCTAGCACCGTGTAATGAAGTGACCTCCTGTTATTTGTCCCAGCTTCTGCCAACCTAGCAGTTCGAAAACATGTAAAAATGCAAGTAGAAAAATAGGGACTTCTTTGGTGAGACAGTAACAGTATTCCGTGTGCCTTTGGCATTTAGTCATGCCGACCACATGATCACAGAGACGTTTTTGGACAGCGCTGGCTTTTTGGCTTTGAAACAGAGATGAGCACTGCCCCCTAGAGTCGGGAATGGCTAGCTCATATGTGCGCGGGGAAACTTTACCTTTACCTCAGTAAAATAAACCGGCCTTCAATTGAGGGAAACTTTAAAGAGGCTTTTGGAGAACACAGGTTTCCTCTCAAGAGGGAGATGGAGTACATGATATATTCCTCTGTACATTTTCTATAAACCTTTTAAAGACAAAAAGTAGCTTTGTAGTATATGAGCTACCTTTTAGCGTCTGTTTTCCATATGTGCTAAATTTGAAATTGTCTTGCGAAGTCCTTTGCTGTGATCAAATATACTGTATATATGTTTATGTATATGTGTGTGTGTGTGTGCATACTGTCTATGTGTATAGTCATGTGTGTATGTATGTGTGTGTATATATATATATATACACATACATACACACACACACACATATATATACACACACGTGTGTGTGTGTGTGTGTGTAAAACCGAACATACTTCAAGCTTCTAGAAAGATTCTGGTTTCCAAAAGAATTACATTAAAAATGGTAACTCTTCCCTTTAAGCCTCTTAAAGATATGCATTTAACATTTAGTTTTAATGCTCTTTACTTTCATATGTTGGTGCTAAAATACTGATGTTTTCATTGACACTACAGAACTACTTACATGGAGATGAAACTAAGATGACCTGGCACCACATATCTTGCTTGGCTGAATAGTGTTTTTCCATATTTGCCGAAAGACTATGTAATTGTAGAGTTCATCCAGCGATGGCCATGTATAGATATGTGTTTTAGGTTATTGGAAGAAAGTGTTTGTTACAAATATTGACATTTCTTGGTGTGTTGTTAGTAGTTTATCTCCTGCTTGATTTTTTAAAACAGGACCAAATTTTCCTGTTATTCCAGATGTTATTTTACTTCCAGTGTGAACTTTTCTACCTCCTATAATTAATATTTTTTGGAAGGGTGTTGTTATCCCAAGACGCTGCATGTCAATGTAGAACCATTCAGTTTCCTTATTAATAAGAAAATATTAATATTAGTAATAAATACTATTTGGCCTTTCAACATAGTATTTCGCAGCCTAAAGCTCTTTAGTATTTTAACCAACCATATTTATTCAGTTAATTAGCACTAGTTATTAATTTATATATCTTCATTATTCTCTTTCAGTCTTCTTATGTTCTTCCCAGAATCACTCAGCTTTTATGGCCTTTTAGCATTTCCAGTTTTGAGGATTTTCTATCACCATCAATGCCTATTTTTTTTTAATAAAGTGGTTTTTTTTTCCAGTTTGATAAATGTGTAGATCCTACCTAAGTCTGCAAGCACTACTGTGAAGAGATGGTGTCATATTTGCTCATATAATGATGGTAATTGTAAAGCTTAGTTAATTAGCTGTATATTTAATAATATATTTACTAAACTTCCAAGATTTGTGGTGGGAGTGTGATAGGCTGTAGACACACTGTGGTAGGCTGTAGACAGCAGAATACTTTGAATAAGAAGGAAATGGACATGGGGTACAAGCTTCTCTTTAGATAATTACACACATCGGTTTTGAATGCATTCTCTTTTATAACATTAGCTAATTTTGCCAAGGTTTAATTGGCAAATCACCCATACTTTCCAAATGCAAAAGGCATTGACAAGTACACTCCTTAGGAAATGACAAACTGTCCTGAATATTTGTCTTCAAGTAAACAACTTAAAATAAACTCCCTCAGTATCTTTTAATTGTATGTCTGCTTAGCTTATCCTGTTATCTCATATGGACTCTAATCATCAGGCCAATTATTTGCGACAGTTTCATTCCACTCAATTATTTTCAAAGAACATAATTATCCCCATCAAGTGTGGGGAAATATTAGCATTAAGATTTGAACCCAACAATCACTTTGGTAAAAGTCGCTCAGTTCAATTAGGATTATTTATTTCTGCTATGTTATTATAAAGAGTCCTTATTACCGAGAACATGGCCATCATGGTTTGTGACAAGTGCCTTTGGCCTGAACAGCAGGAATGGGTGTGCTAAATTCATGTGGCGTGGCACTCTTTTCTTTTTCTAGTGTTTTCATACCATGCTCATACAGGCACTTCTAGATGCCAGCTGGTGTCATTTCCTGCATCTTCCTTAGCACCTGGAATTACATTTCTTTCAAACCCCAAAAAGGTGGGGGTAACAAATTGCTCTTTCTCATCAAGTTGTAGTTATGGGGCAAGAAGGGGAAAAAGAGAATCTTCTTTCTTCTTAGTCTGCACAGTGTTGGATACAGTATAATCTACTGTGTAGATTACACAGACTGCCTGTTGGATGTATCAGTTACCCTCAACATAATTTAAATTCCAGAAGGAAAGTACTTCCCTTGGGATGCTAACAAGAGATCACATTTCCCTTCAAACAACAATATGTAAGGGTTCAGTGTTTGCTAAAGGTCTTGAAAAATGGCAAAAGTTGGTGGTTTGTTCATTCCTTCATTCCTTCATTCATACAATTTCCATAGCTGCTCAACTCAACCAAGTGACTTATAGATGGATAATTGACAGTAATCTGAATGCTGTCTATGTTGAATTTAACATTATTTGGATTATCTTCTTTGCAGATCTGTACCCCAGATTTGGTGGTGTTCTTGTCCTGCTCAAATCAGCGGCTCCAAGAACGCCTAATGAAACGCGCCGAACAGCAGGGGAGACCAGACGATAATCTGAAAGCCACACAGAGACGCCTGACTAATTTCAAGCAGAATACTGTTCCGCTGGTCAAATATTTCCAGGAAAAGGGTCTGATTGTGACTGTAAGTTTTTTAATCTATAGGCTTGATAAAGTAATTTTGGCTAGCAAAATTCAGGCAATGATCGTCTGACCTAGAAAAAGATTGTCTCATGCTTTTGAGAATAACTGTTTAAACTATTAAAAAAAAATTCTCCCATGTTTGATTAAGGGGCTTCTGCAGTCAGACTCACAGACTGAGTGGCCCCAATTGGTTTTGTAACTGTTTCATGCTCACTTGGATGTATAATTTATTCAGCAATTGCTTTTTTTATCAAAGCCCTTTTTATTAGAGTAGAAATATTTGTGAGCTATCATTGTTGCCTTGCAACATCCACAAAAGTTCCTCTCAGAGAATCTGGTAAGTCATTTGACGAAAGATTGGCATTCAGATGGAAATGGTCTGGGTCAATCCATTTTTGCGCTTTGGATCAGCAGAAGAAAAATTGGGGCCAAATTTAGGGATGCTATAAACTACTTCAGTATTTCTCAACCTCTTCAGCTTTAAGATGTGTGGATTTCATTCATGCTTGCTGGACAATTCTGGCAGCTGAGGTCCACACATCTGAGACTGAGAATACATTTTGGACACTAATTTGGAATAAGTAAATACAGCCATTTTGTTAATATGAATTACAGCTAATCCTCATTAAATGACTGCAACAAGTAATGAAAAAATGCTTTTCGTCCACGGTCAGTCTTCGTATTGATGATGACCTTCAGAGATCTGTAAAACAGGGGAAAGCTGAAGTAAAATCACAAGCACAGTCGTAGTTTCAATTAGCAACTGTTTCAATTTATGACTGATTTGCTGGTCCCAACTCTGGTTGCTAAGTAAAGGCTACCTGTATGTTTAATGTGCAGCTTATTTTCAGATTCTGCTTGATGTTACAGTACTTTTATGCTGCAATTATAATTCTGTCCAGAACTCAAAAGGAAGAGTCAGCAAGTCTGGAAAAGATAATGTTTTATACTTGCTATATAGCATCAGACAAAGCAGTGGAATGATAATATGGCTCTTGTTTAATTTGAAATATTCTTGTAAGCAATAAATATATTGCTCAGATGTAGAACTGGAAATAAATCACAATGTTGACCCTGTTTGTAAAAGAATGGATTGTTATAAGATGAATTCTGTAGATCTTTCAAATCAATGCTTCTTTATAAAAGAAACCAGAAGTGCCAAGCAAGCAGCTCAGTGAAATATTATAGGAGAACAGGCTGAGAGCAGCAAAAATGATCTTTTGGCCAGTAAGAGATCTGTCAAAAGGTTGGAATATCTGTAGGAGTCTGCAGAAAGATTTTCTTCAGCTCTGCGAAAAGGGGGAGGAAAACGATGATGGTTCTGATTTCAAGCTGTATCCCAATTTTGCATTGCTTAGACAGTTCACTTAATTAACAAATAAATCAAACCCTTTTATTTCTTATTTTTCTCTGATAATTGCAGTTGAACCTAGGGAGAAATTCATCTAGCATGGATGGGAAACTTCTGGTCCTCAAGTTATTCCCAAATTACCTCTTCTCAGTATCTCTAACAATTGGCCATTTTGATTCAGAATGATGACTTGCACACAACACTGAAAGGCTACACTAATGCTGGGTTTTTTCTCTTCCTGCAAATCAAAGAGCAAATTAGAAAGCAGCTATATTTTTTTTTAAAAAAAATCCTGGCTTTAGACAAAAGACTGGGTCCTCATCTATCCTTGACTAATACTGAGTTAGCAGCCTCAATGGATTTTACCCAATGGAGTTTTTGAGACCATACCAAAACAAACAAAATACAATTCCCAAATATTACATCGGAAGAGACAGTACATTGTCTTGTGATTCTTTGGAAAACATTTGATTGCTCCAGTATTTAGTTATTGTACTTTTTCAAATGCTCCTTCTTTAGCCCAAGCAGCAGAGCAGGCTCAAATATTCTCTAAATAAGAATTAAATATGGTCATGCCTACATCCAAAGTTCAGATACTAGACAAGGTAATACAGTGTCATTATAACACAGAGGTGTTCAAACTTGGCAACTTTAAGACTTGTTGACTTTAACTCTCAGAATTCTCCAGCCAGCGGAGCAGAGCTGGCTGGAGAATTCTGGAAGTTGAAGTCCACAAGTCTTACATTTGTTGAGTTTGGAGACCCCCTGGTTTACCTCATAAGGCTGACAGTTGACTCTGAGGGGAAGTCCACAAGTCTTACATTTGTTGAGTTTGGAGACCCCCTGGTTTACCTCATAAGGCTGACAGTTGACTCTGAGGGGAAGTCCACAAGTCTTACATTTGTCCAGTTTGGGGACCCCTGGTAGAACATAACACAGTTTGAAATTGGTGATTCTCTGCTTGGATATTTATATTTTATGGCATATATACCATATATAGATAGTCCACAACCTACAACCTAAGTGGAACTCAACATTTCTGTTGCTCAGCAAGACAATTCTTAAGTGAATTTGGCCACATTTTATAATCTGTCTTGCTACAGTTATTAAGTGAATAACTGCAGTTGTTAAGTTAGTAACTTGGTTATTAAGTGAATCTGGCTTCTCTAATGATTTTGCTCGTCAGAAGGTCACAAAATGGGTCAAATGACACTGGGATACTGCAACCTTAATAAATATTAATCAGTTGCCAAGCATCTGAATTTTAATAACATGACCACAGGAATGGTGCAACGTAAGTGTGAAAATGGATCACTATTTTTCAGTGCCATTGTAACTTTGAATGGTCACTAAATTAATTATTGTAAGTCAAAGACTACCTGTAATCATTATTGTTATAGTCACTGACCAGCATTTGTAGAATTGTTATAAAATGTAACAAAGTTCAAATGACAAGGCACAAGCATTTCTAAAATCAATAGAAAGAATAATAAATTATCCATAATAATCCTATATAAATAGAATCTTAATTTTAAAACAATTTCAAAAAATAGTAAAAATAGCAAGACTATAAAACTGCAAAAGACTATAAAAGTTTAATACTAAACTTTTAGTATTAAAATACTAAAAACCTTGCTTATTAAATGCTAAATTGCCCAGCATATATACAAGCACAAATGCAAACTTACTTTGATGAGTGACTGGTGAGGTGTAACCTAAATTACTGGTATATATTTGAGGGATCCTAAAAATTAAATTGTTCTCTCTCTTTCCTTTCTCTCTCCCCCTCCCTCCCTCCCTCCCTCCCCCCTCTTTCTCATACCTTAAAAGTCTTCTTTAATTCTGCTGAAAAAATTACAATAACATTTTCCAAGAAGATAATACCAACAAAGGGAATAACTATCCTAATTCCATTGTAAAGAGGAATAAGCTACTAAAGGATTAGTTAACTATATCTTGGAGCACTATGATGTTATGGCAACCAAGTCGGCTTGTCACCCGTCAGGCCTGGGGATAAGGACCATTGCCCCGCCCGAATGTTGTATGCATGTCGTGTATTATTTTATTATGTGTTGTT